CTGCAGTGATTCACTTAACAACCGTGGGAAGAAAGGTTGTAAAATGGGGCAAAACACACTTGAAAACTGTCTTGCTTAGCATCAGAAATTTTGGGCTCAATTGTGGTCATAAGTCGAGGACTGTCTGTGCTAACCAGGAAGAAAAGCGGGAATGAAACGTGGGTTGACCTAATGCTGTTTTCTGTGTTGTGTTTGTCCTTCAGGTTGTGATATGCTGCAATGGATTGTGAAGCATTTGGATATTACTAAGGAAGGTAGGAACATGTAATTATTTTTAAGGGACATATTTTTCCCCTTAAAAGTGTGTAGTTTCTGATTGTTTGGCTTTATTCTGTGTACCCCATTGAAAGCAACTCATCTGTATTGTGCTTTTTTTAAAGAGGGGCTACATTTGGGAAGTATGATTATGAAGTGTGGGTACATCTATCCTCTTCAGGACCGAAAGAATCTGAATCTCAAAGCAGACACCAGTCTCTATCGATTCCAGGTGGGTGGATGGTAGAGCAAATAAAGAAGAAAGCTAACCTGCTTTGCATCATGGCAGGAACTAGTGATGCATGTTTTTTAAAAAAAAAATTTAAAGCTTGTACTTGCTGCCTTTCAATCACAATGGCCCATACAGTTGCTTCCATAAATTGTCATGCAGTAAAAATGATCTTGGAAAAGAATAGCAGCAAATTATAAGAATCCTTAAAATGGTTAAGAAAATGACTCTAAAAGAAAAAGTAGTTTGTGGCATGAGGCAAAGGCACTTGTCTCCCCAACTTCTCCAGGCCATACCCTCCAGATTATAAAATTCAGAATTGCCAGCTAGGAATTCTGGGAGTTGTAATTCCAACACAGGCTATGCCGCAGTAAAAGAGGGACAACTTTTTTGCTTTGAGTTCCATCATGGAAGTTTGGAAAAGAGTAAGAACAAATTGTCCTCTCCATTTTTATCTCCAATCTCCATATTTTGCTTCTATCCTTCCTTGGCCTATTCTTCCATCTTTCATATTGTCCTTGTTATATAATTTAATAACTACAAAAAGAAACACAATTTTGATGGAGTGAATCAATGATAGCTATTTCAACATAAAAGTGAAAAACAGCTGCAAACTAATTACAGGTAGTCCTTTTTCAGCAACTTAGTGACTGTAGTTACAGCAGTGATGAAAAAGTAACTTTGCAATGTAGTCCTCCCTTTTACAACCTTTGCAGGTCCTTAAAGCTGTAAAGTTGAAGTAAGATAATAAGCGCAGCCTTGGTTTCACTCGGTGACTGCTTCACTTAACAACCACCTTGCCAGTTCGAATTGTAGTATCTAAACAAAGACCATCTGTACCCTGTATAGCATTTTCATCATGAAATGCAAATACTAAGAGAGAATCTACAGTTTAAAGCTTGATGAATTTTCCTAATGTCATTACATGTAGTCCTTGACTTATGGATCACAAGTGGGTCATAAGAATTTCTGTTGTTAAGCATGGCAGTTCAGTGATTTGGGCTCAGTTTTATGACTTGTTTGCCACAGTTCTTAAGCATATCAGTGCAGTTGTGAAGTGAATCCAGGTTCCCACACTGACTGCTTGTCAGAAGCTGGCTAGGAAAGTCGCAAAGGCCAATGGCGTGACCCTGGGACACTGCAACCATCACCAACACATGCTGATTAACAAGTGCCCAAACCTTGATCATGTGCCCATGGGGATGTTAACAATGGTTGTAAGTGCAGGGACCAGTTGTAAGTCATTCTTTTCAAGTGCTGTTATAACTTTAGACACTAAACAAAAGGTTATTGAGGACCACCTGTATGGCTTTCCCTTCACACTTTTCAGCCCTCCCCCCCCCCCCATTGTTAAAACATTATTCAAACTTGTTCTAATATAATTGGACATAATAGGGAAGAAACGTGTTGAAATGAATTTTAAAACTTTTTAAGTTTAAGCTTTATTAAGCAGTGATATATTAAATATAAGAATGATTTAGAAGAGCTTGTTAAGGAAAATTATCAATAACTTGATACTTCGTTTTTGTCTTCCTTCCTACAGACACCCTACTTTTGGCCAACCCAGCAGTGGGGAGCAGAAGATACAGATTACGGTAAATTTAACATATTATGTCCTTTTTTTTAGTGAAACTTCAATGTCAGCAAAAATCACATAAAATCAAAATGTCTTCTGTTCTAACAACTTTGATATAAGGAGTCATTTATGGAGAAAAATACATTCTCTTTAAAAGGGAGGATTAGTTGCTAATTCCATTAGTTGCTTTTTATTTAAAATGTTATTCATACCCTTTTATATCTATCTATCTATCTATCTATCTATCTATCCATCCATCCATCCTTCCTTCCTTCCTTCCTTCCCTCCCTCCCTCCCTCCCTCCCTCCCTCTTTCTTTTCTTTCTTTCTTTCTTTCTTTCTTTCTTTCTTTCTTTCTTTCTTTCTATTTCTTTCTTTCTTTCTTTCTCTCTCCCTCTCTCTCTCTCTCTCTCTCTCTCTCTCTCTCTCTCTCTCTCTCTC